TACATAAAAGGCCTACAAGCCCAAAATATTGTACTAACTGACAAGATATGTCTACAAGCATCTACTGATGGATATATTGTGATCGGAACAGGGCCCCGGCCTACTCATATCATATATATATATATATACACAAGATGTAAATAAAGCTCTAGACCCGGCAACTCCGAAGGGCATAGAGCTTACCGATCAAGCTGAACTCAGGCAACACCTAATGAGGAGGTCTACCCGTCTGTCTGTCTGAACCTGAACGCATGAAATGCAGCGTCCCCAGAAAAGGGACGTCAGTACGAAATAATGTACCGAGTATGTAACGTAATATACTGAAAGCTGAAACTGAACTGATAATATAATAACTGAAAGTAACTGGAAGTCATAATCTGAAGATATGCTCACCTGCTGATACTGACTCAACTCTCTCAATATAGTAAGTAAAATAGATGTCCAGCCTTATAAGGCTCGGTATATATAATTTTTCTGCCGTAGTAGGCTCGCTCATATGCGCTCGGCCATACTAGGCTCTGTATCTCGGNAAACACATGTAATTACGAGATCATGCCAAAATGAAGGAAGGGCTTAGCCTTAATATACCTGAGCTGGTTCTCTTGACAATCCCTCTAATACACGTCAATTGCGACAACATGTAATTGGCAAGATTAGAGTAGGGAAGAATCCGTATGATATTCTTAAGAAAGATTGTACTGTACTCCCTTAGAATCAAAATCTCACGTTGAGATAACATTAGGTAGACTTCCTATGAAATCTTTGAATCAATTTCATTGCTATTGCAACATTAGCTTTGTTGAAGCTTTAAGAATGAGAATTCTATCTGTTAGCTAACTTGGCATCCAACTTGCTGGTCTAATTCTAAAGTGTCAAGCATGCCATAACTCATCATCTAAACCAAGTTATATTACCACTAAAGAAACCAAAATTCAAGGAACATTTCATGTATAAACAAATCATGTTGTGTCTTATGACTCATCATTCATATTGGTGCCACTTTGGCTTAGCTTAATGCCAAGTGGCAGCCCCAACAAGGATCCTTATCCACTCATTTTCTTAATTAACTAGTTAATTCCCCACTAATCTAATAATTAATCCAATTATTCACATAATTAAGAATTATCTCAAATTACTTAAAATACTACTCACTTTTAACACACTTTGTACACCTTACTATTATGGTCATGTGGTACCTTGTATGGTACTAGTCCAAAAATACCGGATATTTTAGCTCGGGCCGTATTTTATCCTAAAATATCAAACTTCGAAAAATTTATTTTCTTCGATTTGCTTACCCTCTCACCTTCACGAATTTACTCGTCACTTGTTTGAAACAACATAATGCTTTCATTCCCGAACTTATGTCGATTAACTTACGACGAAACATTAACGTACGAAAATGCGGAATGTAACATCTCATTTCCGAGCTTTCATCAATTTACTTATGGTGTACTTTCACGTACGAAAACATGAGGTGTAACAATATTCTTCCTTGTCTTATGAGCCATCCTCGTCTTCGGTTTTGGATCTTCGGAAGCGGAGGCCCTTTTTCTCTTATTATCTTTCACTGGCTTTGGAATAGAGGCCGAAGCCTCTTCCTCAATGGACGAGGGCCTCAAAACCGCATCTTTGCCCACACCTACATACAGGAAAATTGATTTTAAGTATATGGAAAGCATCTCGTTCGAACTACCAAAGATACGAGAAAGGGGCTTACCATGATTTTTGGCCTCCCATCGACCCTTTGACAAATCACGCCATGAGCACTCGGCGTATGTGGAGGTCAAAGCTAGATCTCGTACCCAGTTCTTGAGATCGGGAATTGCACCGTGCATCTAGGGAACCGCTGTATCACAAAAAGGGGATATTAGTGAGAAAAGAAATGAAAGGGCAAAATAGTAGGAGATAACATCAGAATTACACTTACGCTTCATGTTCCACTCCTCGAGAAAAGGCATATTTTCAGTCGGAATCAGGTCTGAAGTCCTTACTCAAATGAACCTGCCCATCCAGCCTCGATCCATGTCCTCGTCTATGCTCGAGAACAGAACCTTGGTAGCCCGACACTAAAGTTTTATTAACCCACTTTGAAAGAGGCGATGGCAGTACAATCAGATGAGATGGTCGAGGGTGAAAGGAATCCCCTCGATTTTGTTCACGAAATAACGGATCAAAATAACTATCCGCCAAAAAGAATGATGGATCTGGCCTAGGGTTATTTGGTATTAATGGTAGAAATCAATAATAACGGGGTCGAGGGGACCTAACGTGAAATGGTAAGTGTATACACTTAAAAACCCTTTCACGTAAGTGGTGATATCTTCTTCAGAAGATGGGAATACTATTTCTTTGTTCTCCCAAATGCAGTCTTTCTTTAGCTGTTTGAGGTGCCTCTCGGTTATCGAACACATATACCTCGATACTGGCTCACATCGCCCGAGAACCGACGAGCCTTTATCGACCTTAAAATCAGGGGTAAGAACGCACGCCCCAGGAACGCACTCCTCAGGCCGTGGCTCTACTAGTGTTTTGTCGGCGGCAGGCTGTGAAGAAGAAGCTTTCTCTTTCTGAGGAATGATTTTTGATGTTTTCGCCATTTTTGGATTTAAAGATCGAGAATAGAAGGAGGTGACAAAGATTTGGTATTTTTGAAGAGGGATTTTGCAGAGAAGAATCACAGATTTTCGAATGAATTCAGAAGGTGTGAGAAAGAAGTTAGAAAATTTAGAGTTTGGAGATGTAAAAGTGATTAAAATGAAAAAAAGGGTTATTTATAGGTAGAGCAATGGCGGTTCAGTTTCAATAATGGCCGACCATCATCTGACATGCATTAAATGCCTAGGTAAACTGAACGGACGAGACAACTATCACGGACATCATGATCGGACTCGATGCAAACGTCAGTATATATCTAATCGAACCGTTGAAAAATTATGTCATTTCTCGCTACATCCTTCCCAAGAAACGAGGGGACTATCTGTATACAGTAAAAACCTGTTAGTCCTTCGTACGAACTGGTCGAAATGGTAATGCATTGGATCGAAGATCACGTTGAGGTCCGAAGTCAGGTCATTAGGCTTCGAGCCCTAGGGACCGATCAATGTCAAGCTCGAATCCAAAATCGAACTATGATGAAGTTATCGAGCTTGCAAGGCAGAGACCGACCAATACTGTCCCCGAATCAATACAAGGCTCCGAATCAGAATCAAGCTCGAGTCATGATCAAGAGCTCGAGTCGATATTGAGCTCGAGACAATATCGAGCCCATAGACAAGAGCCGTTGCAACCGCACTAGGAGAGAGAATCTTGGCAGGAGTTATGGAAAAGCTGATTTATCATGGGTCTCCCACTATATATTTTTAATTGTATCTAAAGTAGGATCCCTCCACTATAAATGGGTTGATTATTATTTCTATAGGGATCAAGTTTTGCATACACTATAACTCAGATATCAAACATTCCTATATTGAAGAATTATCCTTATTAAACTTCATAGATTGATTCATCTTGCTTAATCCATAAATCATCTTCTTTCCAACTTTGATTATTTTTCATTCTTTACAGTCAATATTCGATATTTCTATTAATCCTTACGATTTGTGTCAAGTTATATCACATACCCTTAGAACTACGTACAAATTCAACTCTATCCGTTTTTTCGGTAAACAGTTATGTAGAATGTTACATAGTTACTTGCACTGATCATGTATTGGAGGGAGGAGTCCTCTCGTATTTCAGCAATATTCCTTTTGTAATTTAGCATATGAATCATTAGCATCAATTGTCATCACACTCAGTGGCGGACCCAGGATTTTTACCAAGCGGGTTCAAAATACAAAAAAATAAATATACAAAAGCGTCAACAAAATAAATTATTAAAATAATACAGAGAACATAATTACTTGCACTGATCATGTATCAGAGGGAGGAGTCCTCTCGTATTTCAGCAATATTCCTTTTGTAATTTAGCATATGAATCATTACCATCAACTGTCATCACACTCAGTGGTAGACCCAGGATTTTAACCAAGCGGGTTCAAAATATAAAAAAATAAATATACAAAAGCGTCAACCAAATAAATTATTAAAATGATGCAGAGAACAGAGGGGAAAAAGTGTTGTATATAGGGGGGAAATACCATATGTAGCTGACTAGGTTCGAACTCTTGACATCCCAGAAATCTTGAACCCACTTTGCCAATGGGCTAGACAATGCTTTTGTGTTAAGCAGGGTCAACAAACGATATATAGCAGCATTTTCTTGAAGAAAGGTAAAATATATCTATATACGCAGTGTTATTTTTCGACGAAGCGGGTTCATATGAACCCTCTTGACCCCACGTGGGTCCGTCCCTGATCACACTTTGGAGGCTAAGGTGTATGTCCTCCTCCGTGTACTTTTATTTGTTAATATATGCACTGGTTAGAGATATTCTAACCCCTTCGGCAAAAAGAAAAGAAAAAAGATATTTTAATTCCCTCCACCCTGCCCCACCCCAACCACCAAGGTGGATCTTTTGTCTAAAAGAAAATCATACACACTAAATATAATGAGATAAGAACTAACTTGCCTTTAAGGTGATATAAACACTCAATTTAACATAAAGAGATTTGTGAGCTTCAAACTTTAGCTAGTTTAGTAAAGTATTAATAGTAATCACCGATTTAAAAAAATAAAACAATAATCATATATTGCTACTCTCCGTAGGTATAACTCTTAATGCACTTATAAATTGAATTATATTTACAATAATCGATCTGTTATCCTTTCGTACATTCATTTCTTCAATTATTATGAGTCGCCAAGTGATATAGATGTGATCAAGCTTATTGTATACATCTTATGTGTAATTTTAAATGTATAAAATTTATTTTAAAAAGTAGAAGTCAACATGCAACTTTAAACTGACATGTAATGTAAATATTTGCCTCTTTTGGTTTTGAAAATATATCCGTACACACATATGTCGTCTAGTACCGAGTATTTATTTTCCTTCTTAATAAGACTCGGTGCCGTTTCGTCCACTTTTCCTTGATAATAATCCTCTTTTGAACTCAAAATCAGAACTTTGATCCTTTGCACTTGCGATTTGCTTACTCTCTCGATTTCACTTTCTCTGAACCAGCAAAGCCCTATTTCTAAAGCTATATATGGCTCAATCCAGCGATAATGTAAGTTCAGCTCTTTCCTTTATTCTTTTTTTTTCTCAGATTAAGCGTTCATCTAAGTGCATATGTTGTTACTTTAATTCAATTGATGTTAATGCTTGCTAAGTTTCAGGTTGTTGGAGTTGATAACACTTTTCGGAAAAAATTCGATAAAGAAGAGTATTTGCAGCGTGCTCGTGAACGTGAAGAGAAGGTTTTTTTTCTTAATCCCTATGATAAATTGCTGCACGTCTTGCTTATTTTTTAGCTTTGCTTTACTGGTTTATTTAAATTCCTCTTAAATTGATGTTGGGTTATTTACAATTTTGTGTAGGAGACGGAGGGAAAGAAATCCAAGTGTAAGACAATTGCTTCCTCACTTCTCATCATTCTATTTTATTTAATTCCTGGATTCATAGAGCATTAAAATCCTAATGGGAGCTTAAACATTTTAACAATCAAATCAATGAATCAACTGTACCTCAATACTGAATTATTCCAAATTAGGTAGGGTCGGTTATATGAATCATTTATAACCATGAATTCCTTATATCCATTCTACTCTATCAAGATCCAGTAATCGGGAGATTTATCATAGTTAGATAATTTATATGCTGCTATCTCCCACCAGTGCTGGTGGGAGGTAGCACGTACCCAGTGGAATAGTCGAGGTGCGCTAAAGGTGGTCCAGACATACACCACCATAATAAATAAATAAATCAGATCATTTAAACGTGTATTGTCAATTTTGTGAAACTCTCTTCCTTTATTTGGACTTAGGACTGACTATCATTGTGAAACTCACATAGACGGAGTTGATATTAAACATCATACATTAGTAAAAGTGTACAATTATCGATGCAGCAAGAGGACCTCCAGTACAAAGGAAGCCCTTGAAACAAAGGGATTATCAAGTCGACCTTGAATCTCGCTTGGGAAAGACTCAGGTTAGCAACTCTATTATCCTTTTCATCCCTCCCTGTGTTTAGTTTTTACTATGGTGTGTTCGGTTATCAGCGAAAATTTAATATTTTTATTGAATGGAGCATTTACTTTGAAGATTTGGTGTATTCTTGTCTATGAAGTTCTGCATCCTGTGAGAAATATCAGTCAGAAAGATCATAGTACAACAGGTTTTGTAAATTAGACGAGCTGTTTTTTTGGTTTGGGTGTAATTTTTCAGACAACTTCAAGATTTTAGATATCTTTCATAATCTAATGTCACTTGAAGCTCCAATGGTTTGAATATATGATGGATAATACCTTTTATTTCCATTTTCAAGCTACTGTGAAACCACAGCTCACTCAATTGGAATGGAGAATAGTTGTGGCGTCTAGTGGTTTTCAGCTATCATTTTTTCATAGTGTTGAAGGGGAGCCTTGGAGCAACTGTAAAGTTGTCCCCGTGTGACCTATAGTTCACGGGTTCGAGCCGTGGAAGCAGCCACTAAAGCTGGCATTAGGGTAGGCTGTCTATATCGCACCCCTTGGGTATGGCCCTTCCCCGGATCTNCACCCCCCCTCCAGCCCCCTCCCACTATTATAGAGATCTGAAATTGTTTTGTTGTTGACATAGGAATCAGTATCTTCTTAACAGCTGGTAGGTTAAACATAGATTTAAAAGGAGAGTTATTGAGATTTGGGACTACGAGGAATGTCACTCCACTTCCTTTTATCTTTTTTCTTTTTGACAGTTTCAATTAAATCAGAAAAGAGACACAGAAGCCTGAACCTCGTATAAAACCTTGCTAGTGATTATCTCTAAAAGTTTAAGACTAGAGAAGATAAACATAAAAAAATCTACCAAAAGATAATTATCTTTTGAGATCCGTACATTCTCCAAATTTGAAGAGCAAAATACGATTGAATTCGTTTCAGGTTCATTATGCTTTCTAAATCCCTGCTTGTTGTCTCCACCTAATTATCGCAGAAAGACACAAGTGATGTGTTCCTTGGATTTGTTTCTTCTCCTAAACAGATCTTACCAATAGATTGACAAAATTTGGACATAGAGGAGCATCTCCTGCTTATAGTGGCAATGCTAGTTTGATCTTACTAGAAAATATTTTCCATTTCTATATATATTCTTACTAAGCAATATTGACAATGGAAGAATGTGAAACTCAACTTGTTTAGCATTAAAGCATAGAAAGGTTAAGGAAGTTAGTTTTCCTGCCTTTTCCTTGTATCATTGGGAGGAAAGTCTAGTTTCCTCACTGATTTTTTGTCCAGTCAAAATTAAAAGCTTTTCTCCGTATTAAGTTGCACAAAGTTCTAGGGAAGTAATAAGAGCCTTACCTTTCCCTATGTCATGGCCAACTTAATTCCCTTTCCCTATGTATGGCCAACTTAATTCCCCAGTCTTTCCCAAAATAAAAAGGTATGAACAACTTTTTTCTTCAATTGATCACCATTTTTGTGTCATGGCTTTTGTTACACCGGTTAAACAAAAAACTGACCCCATGAAATCTACCTTTTACCAATTCAATAGTTTTATGTGCAGTGATGAACACTTAGCTAATTTTTGTGGGAAAAATATCTTTTTTTGTTTTTTGGTAATGGGAAAAATATCATATATCAAGGTGAATAGGAGGGGCTTAAGCAGTTTAAAACTGTAAATTGATCCCTGGCATCCCCTACACTTTTGATACAAAGAAGACCTCTCACCATAGAGAAAAGTGAGCAACAAAGAACCAACTATCAGTTGTCCCTTGCATTGCAGAACAAGCTTAATTATGGTCTCTTCAGATACACAAATGAAGGAACAGCAGATGCTTTTGATAAAAAGGAACATCAGTTAACATGCAGAACATCAGTTAACATGCAGAACATCAGTTAACATGCATCTAAGTTGCTCGGATACGGGTGCGGATCTAGAGGTCGGATCCTTCGAGATGTAAATTCTAAGATTCGGGGATATGGATCCTAGTACGGACACGGGTGCTTGGTTCAGGCTAAAAATAATTTAAAAAATAAAAATATATAAAATATCTCTAAATTATGAGAAATTTTATGGAATACTTACGTGTAGCTTGTAAAGTGTGGATTTTTTTTTCTTCTCAAGTTGTAGATAAGTAAAGGATTGATTTGCTAGATAACGTATGCTATTTTTTTCAAATTTTACCCTAGTTTTGGTGCTGATTTCGGGAATCAAATTGTATCTCGTCTCGAATTTTTCCGTCCGTCGTGGTCAAAGTACCCAAAATTGTTTGACCATATCCGGTACGGACCCCATACCCACACCCATACTAGTGTCGTGTCGACACGGGTGCGACACCTAAACTGCCGTGTCGGAGCAACTTAGACATGCATACCTTTTTATTTTGGACATTTTGCCATTAAAGTATTCTCACTCAGGGAAGAATAGCAGCATCATGGGGTCCATCAGATATGCACACGTTTTTCATGGAAGGATTTATTAGCGGCAGGAGGAAAAACTGTAGTTATTGCCTCATTGATGTCTCTGTTCCTTGCGGTTGAGTTAAGGAGATAGGCTAAGCTGTAGGTGGGATACATTTGGTTCTTTGTAGTTGACATAGGAGTTCGGGCTCCTAACTTTCATTATAATATTAAGTGATTCACTTTACATCTAGATACTGATTTTCCAAAATTTCAGTCCATCTCCTGGTTTCTTTTGTGTCCTCTTTGTTGGGGCGGCGGAGCGTTGAAATAGAGCATGGTCAAAACCCTACCTTTATTTGAGTTTCTCTTTCACGTCTTTGTAGTGGTACAGATTGACGATCGTATGGTGCAAAACCTCCCCCCCCCCCCCCCCCCCCCCCCCCCCCCAAAAAAAAAAAAGAAGAAAAAATCTTCTTTTCTTGGATCTCGTTACGTGCTAATGTGCTTTTACTTTTTGTAGTCAATTTCTTCCTGTTGAAATGAATTTTTCAGTTTGCTAACTTCTACAAATTTTTCATGTAGAACTTACCTGTTCATTATCCCTTTTCTGGCAGGTGGTTACTCCAATTGCACCCCTTAGTCAGCAGGTATTGTCCGATGAAATCCTCATTTGTGTGTCTGGATGTATGCCTTTTCTATTTTTTGGTTGATAATGAAGCATGGACATGTTCCATTCTTTGGAATAATTAGTACTATAGACAAGAAAATCTGATGCAACTATGTTGGTAGATTGGCACTCTTTTCTGTAGTGCTGGCATCCCATCTTTATACTTCCTGTCCTTTTGCAGTCCTAAACTTCTTTCCACCCTTTTCAGCTTTCTTACTGGACTCTTTTGTCTTGTAGTTAGCTGAAAGTTAGGCCAAGGTACTTCAAATTGGTTTCATCATTGAAGAATTTGTCCAATCTGGAGATTGAATTTTGAACTGATAGCTCCCTAATCTCCTTAGTACTGATTTATATAAATTCTTTGTTCATCTACTCCATTCACGTTGCTAAAATTGGATCCTGTCTCCCCTTGCAAACTGTTACTCGGTTCATGTACCCTACAGTTCTTCTCATAAAATAAATCCCATCTTTGGGGTAATACACCTGCCTACAAGAAATTTATAATATCTTGTGGACGTTGAATTGTTGAGGAACATCTATTGAGAGTTGGACGATTCCTTAGTGGTTTTTCTGTAGTTTTATGCTGTCCCTGTTTCTGGCCCTTTCCTAACCAGCTTGTTCATTGTAGCTGAAAAAAGTATAAGTGTATAGGGAATACTTTGAGGATAAAAAGCTTGGTAATGATTCTTATATGCTTGTCATGACTCAATTTGTAATTTTGTCATACAGTAGTGGCAAGAAGATGTATCCCTTACGTAAAATGATGTTTTCTGTTGCATTGCAGGCTGGATACTTTTGCCGAGTTTGTGAATGTGTAGTAAAGGATTCTGCAAACTACTTGGACCATATCAATGGGAAGAAGCGTATGTTATATGGCCACAAGTTACCTTCTCACTTGTTGCTATGATTTTGCCTTCGAGATCTTTTTTTGTTGAAGGCTTGCTGCCAAGGATTTACACTCAGTTGTTCATTCTTTTCTTTTCAGATCAACGAGCATTGGGTATGTCTATGCGGGTAGAACGAGCCTCGCTGGAGCAGGTAGGCTGATCTATATGTCTTGCAAGAGAGTATAGTTTCGGCAGTTCCATAGACACCAGGAGTACGCTTAAAAATTTACATTCAGTTTAATGCATGTCATATCATAACTGAAGTAAAGAGAGAAATTCCACACCAACTAACCACTACCAAAATGAAAAGGGATAGCTTTACTAAGCATAACTTTCTGTAGAAGTGACTAATGTGTCATCCATCTTTCATTTAGTTGCTTGGTACCCAGAGTTTTATGTCATTATCTTTGTAGGTTTTCTGCACTCTCCAGAAAGATTCAAACGAACTCACTGTAACCCGGGAAGAGGCACATCTTTTCCACCTTGTGAGGAGAGATAGTCCCTTCAAACTTTTAACTGTCCCACAATTTTGAGATTCTGCAACTTCTAGATGTGGAAGTTTGCCCGCATTCCTGCAGAATGGCGTTTAACAAGTCCTTTTGGGGGAAGGGAGTACCATCGCACAGCGAAGATGGTTCTCCTTTCTTGCTTTGGCACAAATTAATGGCTAATTGCTACAGGTCTAGAGGTTATTTCCCCCCTCCACTCCTAAGAGAGGGGAATAAAGTAAGGACTTGAATTTACTTGAAAATGTACTCGGATGATGTTAGTTACACTTGCCAAAAAAATAAAAAGGAAAAAGAAAAAAGGATGTCATAGTGTTGTCAAAGGCTCGCTTAAGTCCTGACGCTAGGTGCAAAGCAGGTTGAGCGCTTCGCCTAGGGGTTAAGGCATACCCCTCACCACCGATGGGCTTTGTCCTTATTATGAGATGCTAAAGAATAAATATTTCACATAATTGTAAATTTTTTAATTCCTTTGTCCATCTAATTGTTATTTATGTATTATTATTATAGAATCAAGTATGCAGTATTTTATTTTAATTCTTCAATTGCGCATTTCTTCATTAAACTCCGCTTTAATTGCACTTTGCACTTAAAATCTCAACATACCTTAGCTTTTTGTGCTTTTCACTTTTGATAACACTGGGATGCTAGTTACATAAGTAGGGGACTGTGTGACCTTGAGTGGAGCTAATGGAAACGTGACATATCAATCAGTGGCGGAGCTAGAATCTTGAACGCGGGTTCGGCCGAATCCAGTAGCTTTTGCTCAAACAGTGTATTTGTGTAAAAAAATTCATTAAATATGTAGAAATATTAAATTTAAAACCCAGTTAGTAGCTCTTAAAATTGTTGTTCTAATTTCCAGAACCCATAAGGTTGAAATTCAGGTTCCGCCTCTGATATCAGTTTCATCCAATGTCTAAAAAACTTGTCCATAGGGTGTGCTGTTAGAGGGCACAGATGAAGATATCAACAAGAGAGGGATAGCCTAATGGGAAGTGCCTTCTGCATCCAATCATAGGTTGGGGGTTTGAGCCAGAACAAAGTGGGAAAAGTCACTGTTTGGCTCCTGGATGGGGCAGTGAGGTTTACCATTTCGAGAGAGGAAAGAAGGGGCAGAGTGGAAATTCAAGTGGTCCTTGCTTTATGTCGGAGGTTTAGATGATAAGATTCCACGTCTGAAGTTTTTACTTTTTAATACTACTATTTTTTAACTTCTTTCTTTTTTTAAGAATTAAATTTTGATTGCATTCCTTAGTTGTATTATTGATATGTCTAAATTGCTTGATATCATGATTTTCAGGTTCAACAACGATTTGAATCGCTCAAGAAGCGGAAAGATACGGGGAGCTTCACTGTTCAAGGTAAGGAGTTTTAAATAATCAGTCCCCCAGAATATTGATTGGTTATGCATTTGCTAAGACGAATGTGTAATAATAGCAAAGCTCATTGGCTGTTGCTTCTTTGTTTAGTAGCACAGCATGTACTTGCTTTGTATTATGTTATTTCAGTTTTTGTTTCTTTATGACAGCTCTATTTTAGCTTACTAGACACAAAGACGGGACTGCTATTTACCATCTTTTGTTTCTTTCTAGATTTTGATGAGCGGCTGCTGAAACAACAGCAGGAAGAGGAAGAACGGAAAAGACAACGACGAGAAAAGAAGAAAGAGAAAAAGGTATGTAGCTCCATGAAAGCTTGTTTTGAACGATAAGCTTGATAAACTTTGATCCAGATATCATGAAGGGCTAAGTTGCTCGGACACGGGTGGAGGTGTCCGACACGGGTGTGGATCTAGAGGTCGGATCTTTCGAGATGTAAATTCTAAGATTCGGGGATACGGATCCTAGTACAGATACGGGTGCGTGGATCCGGCTAAAAATAATCCAAAAAAATAGAAAACATAAATGTATCTCTAAATTATAAGAAAAAGTAAAGTGTGGATTTTTTGTCATTCTCAAGTTGTAGATAAGTAAAGGTGATTTCCTAGAAGCTATGCTATTTTGTTCAAATTTACCCTAGTTTTGGTTCTGATTCCGGGAATCAGATTGTATCTTGTCTCGAATTTTTCCATCCGTCGTGGTCAAAGTACCTAAAATGTTTGACCAGATCTGGTACGGATCTCATACCCATACTCATACTAGTGTCGTGCTGACACAGGTGCGGCACCTAAACTGCCGTGTCGGAGCAACTTAGATGAAGGGAGAATGTGGATTACAAACTCTCTCTCTCGTATCTCTCTCTAATTAAACTTTGTTTGTTGGATAATTTGTTGACTTGTATTTCTACCCAGAAAGAGAAGGCTGCAGAGGATGAACCCCAAATAGACCCTGATGTTGCAGCCATGATGGGATTTGGGGGGTTCGGGTCTTCGAAAAAATGATCCCTTTAGCCATCCATCTCATGCTAGAGCATTACTTGATCTGCCTACTCTGCTGAGGCCAGTAATTGTTGTGTTTTTGAAATCGTTCAAAATGTAACAGATGGAAATGCCTCTTGATGCAGCCAGGACAGTTTGTCAAAATAGCCTTCCGAAGTTTCTGACCAAATGATTGTGACTATGCATAGCCTTTTCAACTGTTCATTGCTGATTTCACATGTCTCAAATTTCTGTATTTAGAATTTTGCCAAATTGTAGTCGTTTCTTGTTGGATACATTGCTATATTTCCCAACAGAACCTTACTAAAATACACTAAAAAAGGATTCTTTTTTGTCAAATCTTTTGAACCTTACCTTTTCTTGTTATCCCACATAGATAAATCTGAATGGACAAATTGATTACCCATAAGTATATAAATATCATTGCCTGATTGATCTAAGTTCTTGCAATATATTACCATTGTTAGTTACCCTCGCCGTGCGTGAATCCCTACCGAAAAAAATTCTATTCTTGTCACGCTACAATATGACTTACTTGAGTAACACAGCTCCTAATCATCTCCAACATAAATATAATTACCCCAAACATATACCCAAAATTGTATTCGACCATCAACACATAATGGCATTCAATTAGCACGTTTTGAGCATGAAAATTTTGAAGTGTTCTTGCAATCAACCAAAAGGAGGGAAAATATTTTTCAAAACTTTTTTTATTACCTCTACCCCATCAACCTCCACCGCTCTCGCCCTCGCCCCCGCCCTTGCCTAGCGGTGGCAAAATTGATAAATCAATAGTTATCCATCCATATTATCCATTTAAAATAAAGATAACCAATAGGTTTAACTTTTACATTTATAAAGACTCGAGGAATTCTCCCAAAAGTGATCATCTTCCATAAGCCATGGATAATATGGATATCTATATTATCCGCCGGTTAACCCATTTTCTATTAATATTAAATATGGATTGGATTGATATTTTATCCGTTTTTTTCATGATCCGTTTTCGACCTGCCCATATCCGAATCGATCGTTTGCCACCCTTACCCCTACCCAACCCCACCCCTACACCCTAGCCCCCTTAAACATTTCATCTCCCATTATATTTGCCTAAATTACATATTTTCAAAATAAACATTTTCTACCCACTATCCAAACACTAAACAATATTTTACGAATAAAGTTTTTACCGAGCATGGGACTCGGAAAAATATTTTTCAGGAAAATATTTTCTNTCCTCCACAAAATAATTTGTTCACACAAATTTATTATCACAAACTTAAGTAATGGGTAAAGTTGATTCCGTGTGTACCAAAAAAAAAAAAAAAAAAAGACACCCTTAGTGAATGTCGTTTTTCACTCTTAATGTTGTATTTGGTATGCCAAGAATTGTTTGCATCTTTTGGTGTGGGTTATTGTCACATACCAAACATCTTCACCACAAAAGTAACAATGAATAGCGCATATGAGAACTGCCTGTTGGGGTTAAAAGTATCTCATTTGATGCATAGAAAAAACTGAATAATGATCACAAGCGCAACAAAGATGGGGTGATTTATGGTAAGATTTGTCATATTTTTATTTTATCTTTACGTTGTTAAAAGGTTGGGACTTCTAAAAAACCCCTTCACGAAAAGAGAAGTATAATCTTCAAACTCGGAGAGAGAGAGAGAGTGTCTACAAAAGAGAACCAAAAAAGTAATGAGCAAACTGTTAGAAGCAGATTAATACCAATGAAAAAATTACAGCTGAATTTATTTAAATAAAAACCAGACAGATATTTTGTCTGAATAAGGAGCTTGTTGGGTTTCGATTTTTGTCTAAAATTTCATAACCTTAACCTTTAAGATTGTAAAAAGTGGAGATGCGGGGTATCGATCCCCGTACCTCTCGCATGCTAAGCGAGCGCTCTACCATCTGAGCTACATCCCCAAGTGCTCTATTTGTTGTAACAATATAATAAGTTTTATGTGTAAAATTTCTAGGATTGCGACTTTTGCTGAACCATCCTTCGTGATAATCTATATATACATATATATATATATATATATATATAAAAGAGGAAAAAAGAATGTTCAAGACACAGACTAGGAAATGTATTTATCTAATTTCTCAGTTTTTTGGGGATTTCCTCTCATTTCAATACAATACTTTATTTTTTCTTTATTTTATTTATTATAAGAATCACAACAGTTAACTTCCGTAACTGCCCAGACTAAACTCAATAGTTATATCGGTTAAGGATAAAAAAATAAATGCCGCTTCAATCTTCTCTGAACGCTACTCTATATATTATCTCTTCCCCTTCCCAGTAATTAACAGTTACTACTATTAATATGTACTAATGTTACACCGGTTGAAATTCTGCCAAAAAACGCATATGCATGGACTATATTGCTCCCTCTTTCATTTATTGTGAGTCGAGATGGGGAACGGCGTTCATTGGAGTTTCTATGGGAGGCTGACAAAGAATTTTATAGTTCTCTTCGTTCTTATACTCACAAATTCAAGTGATGTGCATCTGTTTCTTAGTTATTCCCAGTATTTTTTGTGAAGCTCCAGATGTTGTTGGTGTATTAGAAATCTTGGTGTGCTTTTCATTTGATATGTTTGAATTATAGTTTTTCTTCCTCTAAAGATGGATAACTATGTTTTAGAAGATGTACATATAATTAACTGCGATATAAAATTAAACCAAGTTACATAGTAATATATTGTTTTAAGTTATGCAAATTTCTACCATGAAGATCAGCAAAGTAAAATCATAATTTTCAATGTATTTATTGATTTGATCTTCCTTTCGCCTGGAATAACCTTTCACTTGGAAGTTGGAGCAGTTGGGATAAATCAATTGATTTATGGAATCTAATAGGAGGCCTGAGTGTTCTCTGAAGAAGGTGATCATAACTCAGTCTCATCTTCTAGCCATTTGCAATATAGTTGATTCATTGATGTCCTTATATATATATATATATATATATATATATCAGCAGCATATATATTAACTTATTGCAGCAGCCTATTTGCAATACGCAGTTGATTCATAACTTGGTTACCGATGCCTGTAAATAGTGGCAGAGCTAAAATTTTCTCCAAGAGGTATGTATCAAAATATAAAAATTAAACACTCAAATAAGTTAAGGGGATATATATATATATATATATATAATTTTGTCCCTCCGTGTTTAACCATTCAAGGCTTCGTGTAGGAGTTAAATAGAATTCTCTTACATGAATACAACAAAGAAATGATGATTTTATCTAATTTATATTTTTGTTTTTTAACAGAGTTTTCTCAAATTTTGTCATATTTATAACTGCGCGAAGCGCGGACAAATTTACTAGTTTAAAGATATTTCCGTATAATTTCTTGATAGATCAAGGGCGGCTCTAGGGTAAAAGTTAAGGGTCCAAAAATAAGAAGCACTACTATATTATTATATAATATATACTCCATAATTTATATTTATATAATTATTAATAAAAGATTTTTAATTTTAATAATTTTTAACATTTGGTAGGCGTAAGATTGAGTGAGTTAATTGGATAAATTTTTCTCACTAAATTAAATAATATATTTACCTTCTCATCAATTTTATTTTTCTTCTTTTATGTATAGTCTTTTTTCATGGTTCTCACGATTTTACTTTCTAATTTTAATTCAAATTCTCTAAATTAACTACTTTTTGTCACATTTGATTGATCCACACACGAGAAAGCAAGTTCTTTTATGTCTCATCTTTTTTATCTAAGAAATTCCCTAGACAAATGTCGCAAGGTTCAAAACACGATGGATAATGGGCTCACATTTTACCATTTTCACTTAAGAAAAAAATTCAATACTATATGACGTGCGCCTAACTCATACATTATGAGTTGCGCTCTCAACATTAGATCAAAGTCATGTAGGTTTTTTTTGCGTCGCAATATTATATGGATTTTATAAAAGAAGTTTCAGGGTCTTTTTAATATATTTTGGTTTTAGGCTACCAATTCTGTTGAGTCGCCCCCCATTGATGATCAACAATTATCTACACACTACTGCCCCACCATGAATGTACTGTTCAACCAGTTTCATTCACATTTGGTAACTGAATGACACACTCACTGCCATTAATGTTCTTGTCATTGTTGTCTTATCTTAAGTGAGACTCTATAACTTTGATTGAGAATGTCAGGGGTGGACAAGTGACTCTAGTAAAGCCTTGATTTAGGTCCCCCAAAATTTTTAATAATGGATTTTGTAATTTTATTTCAAATTAGATTAATGTTTGTAGAAAAAATAAAACAGTAAAAAAAATTGTAAAAAAGAAAGAAAGCTGTCTACTCTCTAACAGTAAAAATATTTTTAAAACTTTGAATTAAACAACTTAAATTTTCATATTAGTAAATATATTTTTTTTACAACAATATCAAAGGTAACATATTGCAGATACTTGTCTAACATCTCATTTATTTAAATTATCCTTTTCTAATATAAATAATAATATTACTATGTGAAGTTAAAAACTTTATGTCATTTAAGAATATATACTATAAACAACAAGTATGAAAAAAATGGCAACGCATACTAATAAAAAAAATATAAGACCTCTTATTAAAATTTGGCTTTAGGCCACTAATTTTATGGAGCCGCCCTTGTAATAGATACTTCTCAGACGTAATAAGGACTCGTTTCTGTTCTTTGCGGAAGCTACTTTTCTAAGGAACTTTATTATGGGGTAAAGGTATTTTTCCAAACTTTCTCGTACAAAATCCGTCCAAGAAAAGTGCAAACACTTCAGTAGCCTTAGTAGAAATGAGTAGTCCTTCCATGGCTATTATCTCTTCAATTCTTTCCTTCCAATTTAGAATTGCTTTTTTATATTATGGTTTCAATAATATTGCTCGTCATTCCATATGATTACTTGACAGATAACAAAAATTTGTTATCATTTTTGTTGTTATTTTCCGAAAAACAACTTTTTTATTATGTTGAGTTTAAGTGGCACTTCTCGAGACAACAAAGAATTGAATGGCATTCTGGAACTTCCAGTGAGTTCAGAATAAATAGCTTATGTCTCAGCCGAGGGTGTTCAGTATTGTTTGTTAGCCAAACAATAACTACTAGCTTAAATGGATCTAAGAAAGAGGAATAATTAAATTAGTTCAACGTTGTTAGTTATAGCCTTTGGTGGCAAACGGGCGGGTCGGATCGAAAACGGGTCGGGTTGAAACTTGTAATACAAAAACGGATAAATTATCCGATCGGACCCATATTTAATACGGATAAAAAACGGATTAACTGAGGGATAATATGAAAATTCGTATTATCCCCCAATTTGAAACTTTATGAA